ATAAGATCGAAGCAAAATAAGAAATGCTGGCCCACTGCTAACATACAAGCGTTTCTAAATTTCCGACTATCAAAAATGCACGCCCGCGAAGATGATTCACACAAAGTCGTTCACATTTCTGCTTTCTCCATAGTGGAAGAACCCAAGGCAACTTGAAGGATTATATTACCTAACTATTCCCACTTCTAGTAGCTGCCTCACGAAATCAGATTTGGAGTACAATAAGGCACGTTCACGACTTCCAGGAATCGCAGAATCCGCGGAAAGTGCATACGTATTGTCGCTCGCGCGATCAGACAATGAAGTATGGATGCGCTCTCAGCCCCACCACCCATGCGCTCTTAGAGAATTACATTCATATCGATGGCCAGTATTTGGAAAAAAGCGCCACAAAATTCATTCCAAGCTAGAGGAATGTAACACCAGTGTACGATGACTCATTTTTGGCAGAATCACGTTGCGCACAGGCGATTATTCACCAAAAAAAGCTATATGGGAGAGGCACCTTAGTTCAGTTTTAGATGCGCAAAACAGAAAATGGGGAACTTGCATTGAAATCATGCACTCCTCATACAATCTGTTAGGAGCATTACAGGGGGCAGATGAAAGGCCTCTAGACCTGCGAGCCTCACCGGAAAAGTAAAATATTACATATTGAATGTGAACTGAAAAAGAACGTACACTTCAAAGGAACGTACCAACTTTTCCCGTGGGAAAGAAGAAGTAGGTGGCTGGTAGAAGAATAATAGCATAGAAGGAGACGAGGACGTAGTAAAATGTGTTACCCACTTCATCATATTCGAATGAAGCCCGTCCCATGGCCTGAAACACAGTACTGTTAGCAATTCGCAAGCACTCAGTCCAGCAAAAGCGACGTCGTGAAATCGATAAATCATAAATTTACAACGCCGCTTATGGAAAAGGCTCCAGGGCTTTGCATTTTTATCGAAAGACAAACTGACAATGACTCAATGAATGGATATCAATAAAACAACTGTATGAACAGATGAAGCGATAAAGGATTAAGGAGAAAAAAACAAGCAAACAAATGTTATTACAAAGGGCATTGGAAAAGCTTACAATCGTCAATCAGTTTGCCTCGGGCTACAACGAACTGAAACATAACAAAAATTTTCAGAAAATTAAGTGAATGAGAACTTTAAAGCAAAGCCCGCAATCATTCGCCATCACAGATAGAGGATGTCGGGTTTGCATATAGACGACAAAATTCTGAGGAACTCGACAGCGAAGAAAAAAATGGAAAAAACATGCTAGCTGCCCTAGATAGAACCCCACTGTGATCCCAGTTTGTAAACTCATCATCCCTGAGACGGAATAGGGGTGGCATTTGGACATGGCACAGGTTACCCGTGGGATCTTTCAACTTTAGACAACTGTCATCCTGTTCTGTGTCAGACAAAGACATGATTACAATTGTCTGAAAACAAAAATATGTCCTAAAAGCACAGTATCCGCTACGCTCAGTTGGAGAACGCAGCCACGCCTCCCCATCTCAGAGATATCGAGTGTACGTGCCCAGTTAACTCCATCTCCAACACTACGCCCTCATCCGCACAGCTGATTTCCCGATAAGAACTCTACGACCGTACAAGTGACGATTTTCATGCTTTTTCGTCCTGCAGCTTCGTTTTTACTGAAAGGCGGGCCCCGAAGGCGGAGCTCACTGGAGAAAAGGAGGCGTCACTGAACCTATGTTGCGCTATAGCGCCTTTCCCTTACAATTTTAGCCGCGAAACCGGTACAATATTGTTCGTCGTGGACCACACTACCCTCCCGACACCTTTTTCAACTTCTATACCTGATCGCGGACCGTGTCATAGAGGTTATTCGGCTCAGTTTAATTGGTTAACTTTCAGCACTAAGCTGCGTTCACGCTCAGGTTTCAACTGGCGTTAGAGGTTTGTCGAGTTCCGGTGTTCTGGGCGCTGATCGATACTTTTACCTTCACTTTTCACCCATTCACTACCCTACCGCACCCCCACGAGAAAAACGGCGTACTCTCGAGTCGCCAAGTATGAACACACCCCCAAAGCCTTCTTCGAACCTTATACAACAGGTCAAATGAACCTACATACAAACTTTTGTTTCGCAACGTATGCTGGGGCGCATGGAGAACAAGTTTGGCGCGGGCCAATCAGTTTATTCCATCAGACTGGTTGGAGGCTGCGCTCGCGAGCGACTGCAACAGGTCGGAAGAACAGGTCGCGCTTCGCTAAATACAGCCCCTGGCTCGACTCAGCATAATCAGCAAAGAAGACGGCCACAGTTGTAATACAACGAATAAACGTCTTAGAAAGCATTCATATTTCGCGACTAGAGCGACAGGCTGGGATCGCGGCAGTATGAGTTTGAAGCTGAAAAGAAATATGGCGCGGCATCTAAACAGCTAAACCTTACGAACCCAGGGCACTAAGAACTCAGTGCAAGGATGAATTCATGAAAACATTGCTCGTTAGCTTTCAAATGTAGTTGGTGCTCTGCCCACTAAAATACCCTACTAAATCGTATCCAATATGGCCCCCTGTTTTTCGATTTTGTGAATTCTCTGAACATTTCAACCAACTGCTGACTTCTAGAATAGAACTGCGGCTGAGCAAAACGCAAACAAACTCTTTTCAAAACCATAAATATAGTATCAATGAGCCAAAGCCAGCAATTTTTCACGAAACAATTTGCGTACGCTTCATTATCCATGGAAAAAAAACCTAGAAGGTGTGCATATCAATTCGTCAAAGGAAGCATGACACGTGAGCTGGGGGACTTGCATTGAAGTCAATGCACACGCCGACCATTGTGTCAGGGTTGGTTTTCAAATGATTTCTCCTAGCTGTACAACTCCTTGGACTAGGTTACACAAAGTTCCGCGACTTCAAAAATGGCGGGTCTGTACGCTCCATCATGATAACAAGACGGGTAAATAACACAAAAAAAAGTGTGGAAAGAGCATAAAACCCATCCGAACGCCCATGAAGGAAGAAGAACCCAATGCTGAACCGCAGTTGAAGGAAGGGCGCAACCCGCGTTCGGACGAGTATCTCATTTTGGTTTGTCAGCTCTTTCTCGTTAACACCTCACTCTCACCATTTGAAACGGAGAGAGGTGGTAGCGGAACAATCGCATCACCGCGAAGCCCTTGGAAATGAAAGTTAGGCGTTGCGGTGGCCAGTGGGCGGGTCCGTAGCTTTTTGCACTCTCCTCACGCATTTTTGAGCTGCGAAGAGGTATATCGTTCATGCTTGCGGGCAGGACTAACGTATCCAAAGAAGGCGTTTGAACACCAGATGAACGGAAAGTGTCTTTAAGTCCTCGAGCATCAGCAGATTATATACTAAACAGAACCGCTTATAGGAAACTTTAAACTTAACATATTTCTTCAGTACCAGCTTCAATAATAGCAATCAAAACACTAATAAAATCTTATTAAAATCCTATATTCAATAGTTATACTTGACTATCAAACGTAGAAAAGCGCACATATGTATCGACAGAATGACAAAGAGGGGGCAGGAGCCTCTTCGTGGCTAAAATCTGAATTACGAAAAAAGCGGTTTTATAATGCGAATACTGGATTCTAACAATGATATACAAATGTGCACGATGGAATTCAAAACGGCTCAGAATAACAGTTTTGTCAGCAGAATTCTAAAGAATTCGTCATTATCCCGACAAGACCCCATTTCCATTCAAATATCAGCATGACGAGCTTTTTTTCTTGAAAATATTAACGATGAGAAATTTTCCGGGGTATCCTCAGGATTCAAGGGCTTTTTTACTTATTTTGATGAAAATACTACTGAAATGCAGTTCATTAGCCACGGCCACCCGGCAGCAGTTCAACGCGGTGGTCCAGGCGAATCCCGTCAGGACCGCCGTTATCTGGCCGCTTGGCTTGGGGCTTCACTTAAATTCGATTGCACTCTCCTCATCCCCACCTCATTCAACAGTTTCTCGTTAATTCTCTTAATATTGTGCTAGAAGGCGTGCCACTAAGTCCAAATATTTTGCACAGTCCGACTCAGGGGGCATTTTGTTAACTCCTGTCAACTTGCCAAATCATTTCGTTGAAACCTGTAAAGTCTTGTATAGCTCTGAAACAGTACGAGTTCTATTGCCATCGAGATTGTTTTTTGTTATTTCTCATGGCAGGCGGCGCATTTGGTCCAAAGTTGTACGATAGAACGACCGAGTGGTTGAAAAGGGTCATGGTTTTGCACGGGCAGGTGCGAAAACGGAAGCTGAGCTACCTCATTGCTCGCGATTCCCCCCCGCAAATTTCTCATTTGTTTCGATTATTCATCGTAACGTATCAAATAATTTTCATTTCAGTTGATTTTTCCTTGGAGGAATTTTCCTTTCGCCCGGGGGAACGAACTCGGGTGGTTGGAAAATTAAGGGCGAAATATTGTCTGGAATTGAAACTGGTGAATTTTCCTGCTACATGGAGGTCTAGAGGTTTTCGGAGTCAGGAAAAAATTGGGGGGGGGGGTTGTATTGGTCGCGTTGAAGGGAGGGGAGGACTTGTCATACTTGTTCACGAGAAAAGTTGTTTTCGGTTTTTTGAATTTGTTGGTTTCTCACCGTTTCAGATGCGCTGTGAAGCTCCTTCCCACTCCCACCCCCCCCCACGCGGACATCGCTCGCAGAAAGGTGACTTTAGGAAAACTTTTAGAAGATTGGACAAGAACAACTTCAGTGAGAAAGAAGATCTTATCTATACTGAGTATGCAGAACGGTCGCGACGTGAGTAACCGCCGCAGAGTGGCGGGGCCGTGTGCTTACTGTTACGTCGATTTTCGTAAATTCGTAAACTATGGCCAAGTGTGAGCATTGAATGAAGTCGGCGACTAGTTGGTAGGTAAACAGGGGCGGCATTTCGGCATTGGCGGCGCGAAACTCTCGAAATTTTGCATCTGGTACGCAGAGATTTAGTACGGATCATCACCTCGTGTACAACTCCCCTCTCTGAAATTTCGACGGTCACCATACGGTGCGTCTCATATCACCCCTGAAAGCATTCAGAAGATCCTTGAGTGAAGGAATTCAGGACTTATTCGCGCTAGAAGGGGTCAGACATGTGATACATCTGAGACTTTTTGCATGGCTGCGCCATGCTTCCACCGCGTAAGTTTCTGATTCGCTAATAGGCATTATGAAAGCGTTTTGGCTCACTGGCTTTAATGTCCGAAATGATTTCGCTTCAGGTGATGGCTTATATAACTTTTTTCGTTAGAGAAATCAGAGTCGGAAGCGGGCGATACCCTCCCCACCTCACTCCAGCGACATACCAGGGACAAACACTCAAAATACATAGATTTGACCGCAATGTATGAGCGACTGTGAAATCCCATTGATAGGGTCGCTAGGGATCTGTCAGTTGAATCGTTTAGCGCGATAATTGGTACATCTCACACGTCACATCGCCGCAGTGACGGAATGGTACAGTCGGGCGTGCTCCGCCCACGCTCCTGGTAAACATTTGCCCACTAGCAGGGCAAACGGTATTTATGTCGTAGTGAGGCTCAATATAGAGGTGAGCCACGTGCTCCCTATACTAGCTTAATCAAACGCCCGTTCGGTGGCACACCCACGATCTTTCTTTTTGATGTTTTTTATCTATTTATGGGCGCTGTTTGGCAGAGGGGCATTTGCAGTTTCACCCATTTGTAGTCCCTCTTGTCAGTTAATGTTACGTAACAGGTCTTACCTTAGTGGGAGTTGTAAATTCCTGTCAGCGTGAAAATAAAGACAACTTTGTTACAAGAATTTACAGGTTTTACGGCGTGCTTTCTCTCGTTCGCTGCGTACATCTGTGCCCCCCCGAAGGCGGACGAGCGCCTATCATCCTGCTAATACTCTTCTTACCTCTGAGGTAATTCAATGTAATTTATTCTAATAGATTATCGTCTAAAAAATCAATAAATCACTTATATCTAGTTCGACTCACTTTGATTCCTCGTGGTGTAAAGTAAATGTCCATGATGCTCATAGATGAGCACACTGGAGATAATTTATTTATATTAGTTTATTTATTTATTTATTTATTTATTATTTATTATATTTATTTATTTTATTTCAATTTCTTTATATTAGTTTATATTTTATTATTATTTATTTATTATATTCATTTATTTATCCTTCGACTGTCACACTGTCGCGTTTCTTCCCTCGAACTCCTCAAGTCTCCAATGGTCCCTATTGCGAGTCAGAGTAGAGTGGGTTCTTCTAGCTCTAGGAAGGCAACATCATCCCCATCGCTGAGAAGAAGCCTGACCATCGTCATGGTGTTCGTTGGGGATCGCGGTCATAGGCGGCTCTGGTTTTGGAGTCACCCAAGAGTTGCATGACGTTTTCGGCCCCCTATTCTTCGATTTCCTGCGGAGTAAGGTTGTGTTGATGATGTTTGATCGTTTTCGGAGTAGGAACTCCGGGTTCACTTTGAGGTGAGGAAGTTTCGGGATCGGGGCACGTCGCGGCGGAACATTCTCAGCAGGGGTCTTTTTGGTCGCTGCAGGGGGAGGTCGCAATTGGCCTGAAAAATTTTCTTAGTGATGGTGGTATTTTAGTCGATGGTGACTCAGATGGGATTAGGATCGATCTCGTCACTTCGAAAACGAGCTACTACCTAAGGAGCTACTTGGAAGGGTGCGGGGGGGGAGGGGAGAGGATTGTCTTTTGGTACGAATCATTTCCCCCAGCGACGGGTGTGTCGCTGATTGGGATACGTCTAGTGAATGCCCTCGCAAATAGACTTCAATTCTCTTGTCAGTGCCTGTTGGATTCACTGTCATTCTCGGGTCGAAGTGATGGGGTAGATCTATGAATATTGGCTTCTTTGCAGCTAATAATGCTTGTGCAGAAGTTTTGATTGAATTGCAGGGTAGACGGCTGGATATTCTTCATTTTCTATTATTTTTACCTTATGCAGAGTTTGCTCCATACTGTCTTGATTGTTTCTGGGGCCGCATTCATACCTGAAACTAGGGAATCGAAGAATCACGGAATCTCAAGCAGAGAACAGAATCGGGGTGAGTCAAGAGACGGTGTCAGTACCCCCCCCCTCCGAATTTCCTCTTCCGGTACCACCGCACAATCGCCTTCCCGTCTTACCAAGTCCTTTCGATCCCCTTCATTTTTCCGAAGATTATGCCACTTCCCCCCCCCCCCCCAAAAAAAAGCTGACGTGGAGCGGAAGGGGTCATCACCAATTAACTTCCAGGACCAATTATTAGGAATACCAGAATAGTAGTTGTATAGTAGTTTCGCTGCGCCACCAACTAGAGGGGATCAGCCGGAAATTCTTCTGACGGCCCTGTCATGGCAAGGTACGACCCCACCCTCCCCACTGACGAAGTGCGACTACAAATACTTTCCTCATCGCGAGTCCTACAACATGCCAGGTACACCACCGCTGGGAGAACCTTATTGGGGTCGTATTTGGTCAGGGATGGGGGTGAGGCCCGCAGATATGCCCGTGCAGAAATAGCATGTCTCAAACCGTCACTGAACGATTTCATGCTGTCAGTTTTGTTGTCTGCTTGGAATTCCTCTGGGAATCGATAAATTTTACGAGCTCGCCTGGCAACTTGATATTCATAACTCTGCACAGTTTTCGAGTAATATGCATCGAGTGATTCCCCCCTACTGGTAAATCGCAGGTTAGTGGGTGAGAATCTAGCTTCCTAAATATTAGCTGT